GGGGGGGGGGGTTGAAACGACACAGTGTCACCCCAGCGAGACGGATCTCGCACCAACGTGACCTGGACCCCGGCTATGACCAACCAACCCACCCACCCACTACCACCCTCTGTCTCTCTCCGCCTCTCTCTCCCTCTCCCCCTCTCCCCACTTCCACCTGGGCTATTAACGCCCTCATCCCCTCGTCATTGGCTCGCGGAAGGGAGGTGTCGGGGGGAAGGGTTTGAGGGTCGGGGGTATCCGAGGGGCAAGGGGGGGTGGGGGTGCAGGTTACTGCAATTACTTGCCACTTCTATTACCTTGTACCTCGTGGTGCGGCGCCAAAGCCATCAGGACGCCCCCAAAAATGATTAAGCATCACGTCGTCACACCCTCAAGTCACACTCCGTGACGTTGGACGTGCCACAGATCGCTCTACACCTTGAGCAGCGCACGTGTCACGTGTCGTCACACCCTTACCCTTACCGCACCGCCCGCGCCCTCTTGAATACCTCCCCAACCGGAACCGAAAGTCAAACGTTTTGTCGCTGAAGTAGACTCGGTTCTGTCGTCGTCATCCAAGTGTTCGCGCCCGGCAGCAGCGCCGAGTGAGCGCCGGAGCAGCCCCCAATTTTTTCTGTCTTCCTCCATCTCTTGCCTCGTCGGCGAAGGGGGGAAGGGGATGTCGATACTTCACGCACGGCCGCGTACTCGTGCTCGGTCTATATGTCGAGCAGAGAAAGTCTCTCCTGGGGTAGGCTGGGGAGTGGGAGTGTGTGTGTGTATGTGCGTCTATGTGCGTGTGCGTGTGTGCGTGCAAGATAGAGAAAAGGCAGGAGGGGGGGGGGGGGAGAGTTCGACGTTGGGCCAGGCTGCTGATTTTTGTGTCCCTCGTGAGCCTGCATGCTCATGAGTATTTCCGGCTCGGAGAAAACCCCATTTGATTTCCGCGGCGTCCGTTCACAAATCCGTCACATGAAAACAAAACACAGAAGGAACAAGAGATACTAAAACGCAAGATTTCCGGAGTCAAGCTCAAACTGCGTTATCCCCCACAAACGGCGCGGATATGATGTTCTTACATATAACGCTCACACGACTTTAATTTTCTGTTTCAGGCTGTCGCGCATGACCGTTTCTCGCCTCAAAGTTGCTGGTTTTAAATTCTTGCAAGGAAATTCTTTCTGTGCAAACGCTGGACATATATCGCGAAGGATTCTGCTTTGTTGACTACGAAACCTCCTTTGCAATTTCTAAGTAAATGCTCTGTAGTCTACAATGCACGCTCAGGTCATGTAGGGAATTAAGTAATAAAAAGTGTAAGCGTGGTTTGGAATGGGGTGGAGGCGCGGTGGAATTGGTTGTGTGATGTGGCGAGATCTCGAGGTGACGTCGAGTCTAAATCTTTCACTGTTTCTGTTCGAAGGTGCGGACCCCGGCGAGCGGGAGGTAGAGGTCTGTGTGCCGGCTTCCGGCCCGCTCTACAAGAACATCCACGAGGAGCTCTACGAGGAGAAACCCGCAGATCTAGAGGCCGGCTCTACGGCCACCTTTCGTCGAAGTCTTCGCGCCAGGAAAAAGTGTGACACTGTACAGGAGGTGCTGCTCCCAGAGGAGGAAAACGGGCTAGAAAAGAAACCTAGACTGCTGCTTCAATTCAATTGCCACGTTTGCTTAATTAGTTTGGCCTCTAAATGGGACCTGGATACGCACATGAAGACCCATTTAAACGAGAAGACCTATCAATGTGGAGAGTGCAAACACAAATATGTTCGGAAGGAACACCTTTACCGTCACTTGATGACGCACACAGGTCAAAAACCGTTCAAATGTGAGCGGTGTGAAAAGAGCTTCAGTCGGAAAGATAAACTTCTTCGTCATGAAAGGAGGCACACTGGCAACTTTTAAAGGAAATGATTCTGTCGATGCTATTTTATGGTGCACGTACTTAATCAAAGACTATCAATGTGTTTTTCCCAAGATTATCAAATTTTTTATTCTTTTGTTTCATTCAATGTTAATTTCCTTGGATGCAATTGCCTACTAGCAATTTTAATATAAGCATCCGCAAGGTTCATTTCAAAACTAAGTATTTTTTTTTTGTGTCCTAATTCCCACATCTACACATCTTTTTACTCACAGTTTTCGTCGAATTCCTTTTCTGTTTCAATCTTTAACTTTTACGACAGTGTGAAATATCTAATATATCTAATTTCCGTTCTAATTAAATTAAATTTGTAAGCAAATGGATTGTCTTCACTTATTTCCTTGTTCATTGCCACGTTCGCATGTTTTTACATTTTTGCCTACAATGTGCATGCCGAACGGTGCCGGCGGTTGTGGCTGGAGAGCGTGAGAACGTAATAAGTGAGACAGACCACTCTCTGTTTAAAGGGGGCAGCGATCACTGAGAGCCTCGAGATGAGCTGTATCTAGTCGTGACCTTATTACTTAGTAATAAGTTGCGAAGTATACAAAGCACGCCTCGAGGGATGAACCACTTCTGTACCCACGTGTGTTATCAGAGCAACAAGTATTAGACCCCTTCCGGTGGAGTTATTCCAAGCGATTCCAAGCTGAAAGGGTTCAAGGTTCAATTTCTTATTGTGGTTATAGTACACCTTGTACTCATCCTGTATTCTTCTACACTCTAAATAAACTCATGTGTATTCATCGTGTATTCATGCGTACTTAAACTGTTATTCAAGTACTGTGACGTCACATTCTATATAATGTGAATTGTGGTACATTGTTTAGAATATCATGTCACATTCGTTATAACGTGACAGTGGTACGCCTACCATGAACTGAGTCCGTTGACCAGAGTGATGCTGGGATATTGACATATTCTAAATAACGTGACATAATTCACTTTATATAGATTGTGAAGTCTCACTATTTGAATAACAGTGTTTGTGAGTAGTGTATACAAACATATCCCTTGTACCTTGTAGGTAATTGATAACTCCTGAATTGGCTGTAGAATTGAATTTAAATTGCACTGGATTGTTTTTGAATTGGTTTGAATTATTGCGATTTTATTTTATTGAATTAGCGTGAATTGAATGAAACTGGCTTGAATTGAATTGGACGTGAATTGGCCTGAATTGGACTGAAGCAGTTTGAATTGGGCAGAATTAGGCGTGTACACTACACTTGGCAGGGGAGTTATCCACCCCTCGGTGCATGTTCTGGTACAAAGCGAGATCGGTGGTGTTGGGTTGGTGGTGGTGTAGTGCTCAACATGTGGTGAGATCTCAAGGTGATGTCGGTGAGTCTAAATCTCCCTGTGTTCTTGTTCACAGGTTCTGACCCCGGCGAGCGGGATGTAGAGGTCTGTGTGGGCCCGTTCCCCGACGAGGAGCTCTACGAAGAGACTCCCGTGGGTCAAGAGGCCGGCTCTAAAGTCCCCTTTCGTCGAAGTCTTCGCGCCAGGAATACGTCTGACCCGGCACGGGATGCGCCAATCCCAGAGGAAGAAAACGGGCTTGCAAGAACTAAAAAACCTAGTTTGCGGTTCCAATTGACTTGCAATGTTTGCTTAAAAGATTTAGGCTCTAAACGGGACCTAGATGTACATATGCAGAGACACACCGGTCAAATGCTCTATCAATGTGGAGAGTGCAAAAAGAAATTTTTACGGAAAGACCACCTTTACCGTCACCTGATGACGCACACACGTCAGAAACCATCCAAATGAGGGCTGCGTAATAATAACTTTTGTCGGACAAACCTATCCGTCCCGTGAAGAAGAAAAACACCGGCTTTTTGATTTAATTTTTATAAAAATCCGTTGATGCCATATTCTTACGTTACGACGCTATATATCACCCTTGTCCTTAATCTAACCTTATTACTCTTTTCTACACATTTCCATTCAATGTTCATTTTCATTGATGAAACAGCTTGGTAGCATTTTCAATTTTTGCATTCGCAAAGATGATTTAGGAACAAGGTAGCTTTTGTTTTTGTGTTCCAATTCTTACTTGTACTAACACACATTTTATTTTTACGACAATGTGAACTGTCTAATTTTCGTTCCAAATAAATTTTCTTTTTAACCAAACGGATTGGTGCTGACTTTACTCGTTTCCTTGATCATTTCTATCCTAGCATGACTTTGCATTCGGCTAACCCATGTGCATGCTGTACCGTGCCGGGTGGATTGTGGCTGGAGTGGAGAGCGTCAGAACGTAATCAGTGAGAGTGAGACTGACTATTCTCTTTTTTCAGGTGGCAGCGACCACAGTGAACCTGCTGATATGCTGCGCCTATTCGTGACCGAGAGATTCTCTCCTTCTACCGATGAGCTCTACGAGGACGCCAAGGACCCTCTATTCTTGGGCGAGGCAACTGCGCACCGAGAGACGGGCTCTACGGACGACAGTATTATAGAAGGCAACGATCTGTTGAAGAAGGGCGACGGCAAACAGAAGCGTACACATGCGAAGTCATTTGAATGCAGCGTTTGTCTAGAGGCGTTTGCCCACCATGACGAACTGACAGTGCATGTGCGCTCTTCGCACACTGGCGAGCCACAATTTAATTGTGATGTGTGCAAGAAGAGTTTTAGCGTGAAATCACGTCAAAGTTATCGCGTGAAGGCATGCCTGACAGGACAGATACTAAGTGTCTGTCCTGCGTGTAAGACAAATATTTCCCTTAAACCATTTGAGTGTGGTCTGTGTGCAAAGAGATTTCCCTTCGAGTACAATCTTGTTGAACACACAAGAACACATACTGGCGAAAAACCGTTTTCATGTGGCGTTTGTGAAAAGCGCTTCACTCTCGAGTACAGTTTTACTCAACATTTGGAAACACACAAAGGCAGAAAATTAAGCCTCCTAAAACAGTCTGATAACGTTGGGGCCCCTTCAGGCGACGACCATTTGGAAAATGCCGAGCGGCAGTGTGGAGACAATCGCTCACATCCAGGTGATGGCAAAGAGCATGTTGATGCTGATCATGGCCAAGGGCTATGGCGTTGGACGTCCGAAGACGAAACCCGAAAACTTTCTCAAATAGGGGCAAAGCTCCTAAAATGCAAAGTATGCTTTAAGACATTTAACGACGAAATCCAACTAAATATGCACATGCGCTACCACCCTCGTGAGCAAACGTTCTCGTGTTATGTTTGTGAGAAGGATTTTAAAAGTATATTCGACTTAAGTTCTCACATAAAATGCCACACAGGCAAGAAACATTTTAAGTGTGGCGATTGTGGAATGACTTTCACATTCAAAGCCAACTTAACTAAACACATGAATAAACACAAGAAATTATTCCAGTGTGAGGAGTGTCACATTAGTTACACTACCAATAAAAGTCTTCTTCGCCACTTGAACACACACAATTGAGCATTGATCGTTGCAAATTTTTAAATAAAATTCTGCTTTTTGTCAATTAAATCGTGAAAGAAACATTTCAAACGTGTCTTGGCATTGTTTCGAATTACAATTATCAAAACTAACTGTCTTTCTACACCATCGTATAGTAACTGTAAAATTTCTGTTATGATTGAAATAAATTTGAAATAGTTATCAGCGGTGTACTGTTTTTTTCGTCGTCTGACCTGGCTTTATTTTCCACGAGTATACAAATTCGTTCTCCGATTGGTACGCAATTGCACCTGCGGCTCGTGCGAGTTGGTGCCACTCCACGGGACCACCCGGTTTACCCTAACACTACTAATAGCAGTTTCTGTTTGGGGGGGGCTGTGTGTCTGTCTCTCTCTCTCCCTCTCCCTCTCGCTCTGTGTGTGTGTGTGTGTGTGTGTGTGTGGAAGCCGCACCGACTCGGCCGGTGGGTCTGTGCAGTCGGCGTCGTTCACTCTCTTATTTTACGCGGCGCGAGGCGGGGGCTGCGGTGAGCTCGGGCGGGATTCGGACAAATCCGCCTGTATAACCATCAATACTCCACCCCCTCCCCGCCCCGGGATGACGTCGTCGTGGTCCCCACCCCGAGAGTTCCCTCTGCTACACCTTGAGCAGCGCAGGGGCTGGGGGCGGCGAGCCGCAGCACCGACTGCTCTTCTTTTTGTCTCTACCATGTGTGCTCTGCTCGCGCCGCCCCGCTAGTCCCCTCCTCCAATAAGACCCCGCACCTGCACACGACCGCACACACCTGCTGCTGCTGCGCCGCGCACCCGCTGCGTTTCGTGTGGAGCGATATCGCGGGATTAACAACGTGACGGTAACGCGGCGGCCACGGTCCATCCGTACGGTACCAGTACGGCTCTCGGCCCGGCCTTCCACCTTTACGACATTGACAGAATTCGTGCAGTTGCCATTCATAACTTATGGAGAGGTCTGCGGCCTGGGCGGGGCCGGTGCGGTGTGGGGGTGCGCTCCGGCCCGCTGGCTGGAGAGGGGGCGCGCGCACTTCAAGATGGACGCGCACTCTCTCAGATTGCCCTGGCCGGGCGAGGGGGCGAGCGGCGAGAGCGCAAGGAGTGGAGCGGGCAGAGAGAGAGAGAGAGAGAGATTAGAGAGGTGCAACTTCCACGCGCTCTTTGGTGGCCGCGGGCAGGTGGCCGGGCACGGTCTGCTCCAAAATGCCAAAATGTGTGTCGAAAATGAGTTGTTTTTTTGGATACCCCCAAGACTGTCTCTACCGGAAGGAAAATAGTGCCCCCCCCCCCCTATTCCTTCTTTCCCCTTTAGAACAGGATCACACCCGAGCTCGGGTAGTGTGGACGTGGACGTGGCGTCTTGGGCAGGCCACCGCTACGCACAGCTACGTCCCCATCCCGTCTTGCCGGTGGCTTGTCTACCACGTGCACGTCACGCTGCTGCGCTTCAGATGGCCGTCGCATCGGCGTGGACTGTTATAGTACTTTAGCAGTACGAAAAACTGAGGGAGGACCTTTGTGGCGTGGTCGAGGGGGCTGTTCGTTTTTATCTTTAGACTTAAGTGGGCTATCTAATTTTATTCGGCTGCAGGGTTACATTAGCTGAAACGCTTAACATTTTCTAATGCCCTTCGGCTTGTCAATGTGTCCCTATTCGCCAGATATTCGCCAAATATTATTATCTTGTTTCGAAGTTTGAGTGACTTTTTTTGCGGCGTGCTTGTGCCCGTGCAGGGGGAAACGGACGAGTCGAACGAGGCGGGGAAAGGAGAACAACGAGTCCACGGGAGCGTGGGGACCGAGTGCATGCACCCCCTCCCCCCCTCTTCCTCTCCCCGTGATCATCCTGGCGACACGATATTAGATACCGGGGAGCAGCGAGCAGGTGCGCCTGGA